ATCATCTTCTTATGGAACTGCAAGCAATTCATATCTCTACAAATAGAAATATAATCTGAATCATCCGAACGCTGTACATTGTAAAATCATTATGTCCAGGGCTACGCAAATTTTATAATGTTTTTTACAGATCAAACCAAGGTGAAAGGTTGATGCTTGATTTTCTCAAATATTATGGTCGCTGTGATACATATTATAAAGAATGTATGGTCTTTATATCTCACCCCGGACTAACCAGAGTGAGCAGCATTCGGTTTCTTCTATTTGAAATCAAACGTGTTTTGGTCTATAATTCAACAATCTTTTACCGTAAGGATTTGTTTATGCTATACTTTTTTCTTCAAAATGCATATGCCGACAAAAAAGTATTTAAGAAAAAAGTAAAAAAATTGTGTTTAATGGGTCAAATTGTTATCGAAAGTCACAGCTTTCGGGAATATTGACAGAACTGTTAAATCCACGCAATCTACACTTCGATTGTACAAAGCACATGGCACAGTTTATATTTTATAGGAATAGGATATAAAAACTGTTAATTATTGTGTGAAGGGACTGTCAGCATAATCCAAGTGACCGACAATTCAAAGATGGCATTCACGATTCACAATGGTTACCTTAAAAGCATTGTCTGGTCAAGAATGAGTTAGATATGAATGTTTTTAATTTTAAAACCTGTTTATTGGGGTTAATCTACAAAAGTGACTTACGCATTTCTACAGCAGGAAAAAATAATGGAATTATTAGAAATAAACTGTTTCAACACTTAAGAAACGAAAAGAGTTCCGCACACATGAGCAGTATGTAATAAAGACACCATTTTTGCAAGTGATTGATAATATAAACCCAGTGAATAATTTGCACGTTTGCCAAATCTCAAAGCAAGATATGGGTGCAGTGCAAATATTAATTTGCAAATCAATAATAATTTATGAAAACTTAAATCAGCCACTCAATCAAATTGTATGTAAATACATGAAATGATAATGGTAATGAAAACTTCTAAATTAGAATTAAACCATCCAAGTTTATACAATTTTTGTCTTTCTTCCGATAGTTGTCTTTAAATTTAATTTTATTCCTCCAGGCCTTGCCCTCTCCTCCTCTCATCACCCCCCCCCCCCATAAACTCCCTGTTTTCCATCTGTGCCAAGCATAACTTCATTATAAGAATTTAACTGTCTAAAGCAGCGTGTTAGCTTGCATATATCAGCAGAGACCAAAACTAGGGATGTACGTTAGACGATTCTTAATAAAAACAGATTCTAAAGTTTTCACATTTTTAGCATGCTAGTCATCCAAAGACGAAAAATATAACTGAAAACATATTGAATGTGCAGTGCATGAATAGATATGCACTGTTTTAGATACCCTTAATGAATGAGTCAATATTGAACTATTGAAATCATTTCTAAATTACGAAAATTTTGTTAAATAATAAACAGAATATCTATCAAGATTTTATATTTCCAACTGTATACGTAAGTTTTAACTTAAACTGTTCGCAATTTTGAAAACTTTATCAACCCCTAATGCTCGTAAACCTATATTTTCTCCAATAACATGGCTTGCCACTTCTATGAGTAATGACTTTAGGAACAAATTACTCCTGTAGCCTCCATCAAGTTTACAATGGGAAAAATGTATTTTTAACACATTATTAGTTCCATTAGTCTTCTACAAAAATATGCCTAATATATGACCAGCGCGGCCGGGGGAAAAACGTTCAACACGTCTTGTCAAATCATTTTTAAAGCTCGATGACAGATTTTTGCAGAAATATTGACATTCGTCAGTGGGTCGGTAGTTTACAGTCAGTAGACAAAAGATAGAAGGGGAATCTCGTTTTTGGTTTTTACAAACACGTGAAATATGAATTTTTGTTTCAAATCTGCACATATATTGAAAAAGACACGTTTTGTATGATTGATAAGAAATAGCGATGAAAATGATGTCAAACACTGTTGAGGGAGAGGGCGGGGAGGGGTGCATGAAATCCGTACACCTCATCATCCATCACTGTGCAGTCTGCTTTTTTGCAAGATGGATTCGCCATCTTTCATCTGGATTTAACGACAGAGGGTCTGCGAAAATGATAAATTTTGCAACCTAATCTTTAATCTTTTTTCAGGTTGTATGTCTTCGAAAAAATTGTTCCTCTACATTTAACAAGACAACTTCATTAAACAATTCTTCCGAACACCTTCATTCCTATGTTAAAAAGACATCCATAGCCCGGGATCCATTTCACCTTCCAGTCTCCTTTACTACACTTACCACCTTCTCTGAAACTTTATGATGAGTTGATGAATAAATGAAATGTTTCATGTTCTGCTGTCATGTATCCAGCTGCAAGGTAATCATTATTTTGACGTTACGCTAGTTTTTCAACGTAAATAAGATCGTGTGATTAAAGTGAGCCGAAAATTTAAGATTGTATTGTTGAACGAAACTTCTAAGTTTCCTTTTTGGGGTCTTGGGGTCTTTTTAGGTAGATTTTAATTTTAGAAATCAGAAAACAAAAAGAGAATGTAGTAAACCACATAAAATATAATTTGTTAGCAAAAATATTGGCATCTACAACACTGCCAACCCCATTCCGTCCATAAAGAACAATTTGATTTTAAAAACCAAATCTTTCCGAATACGAGAAGATTAACAATATAGGAAACGTTCCTAAAGTTAACTAATTTAATAACCTATGAATGCATCAGACTGATTATTGCACTGCACTACTAATTACTATTCTACATGAATATATTGAACATATTTATACTTCAACATTTATAACATTTTAGAAAACTTTATGCAGAACTTTTTTTCCCCAAAGTACGTTTACATAATTATTCGTGCAAAAAGTACAAAGTATTCAAATTTTTACGGCTCTAAAAAATGGTTAGTTTTTACTACGAAATACATATTCAAATTTATCAAAACTAAATTTGATTTCGACGATCAAAATATACAAGAAAACGTCTTAAATACAAAATATTGATGTTAAAGCTTTTTTTGTGTAAAATGAAACTTGGGCAAACATGTCTTCTACCTTAAACATTCAAACAATGCAAGAAACTTCGTGTCTACAAAAACACTCAATGGAATGTTAAGAACTTTCAAAGCAAAAAAATATTATAATTTTTTTCTGTAAATCACATGCATTCTTAAAATGCAGCATGTTTTTCTCAAACCATCCATCCCAAAAATCGTATTTGCAATAGCGTATCGTTAGATGTTCCATTATCCTAGGCTTAACTTATATTTTAAATTTTTCTATTTAAAAAAACTTCTATTTCTATTTCACATCTTCCTATTCCTATTTCATATTTTTCTTTTTCTGTTTCACATCTTCCTATTCCTATTTCGTTTTTTTCTATTTCTATTTCACAGCTTTCTATTTCTATTTTACATATTTCTATTTCTATTTCACATCTTCCTATTCCTGTTTCGTTTTTTTTTCTATTTCTATTTCACATCTTTCTATTTCTATTTCAAATTTTCAAACTTAATCAATTTATAAGTAAAATTGATTCCTAACAGTTACTAAAGTCTTGTCTTTCATTCCATACCATTCAAAGCTATAATTTACAAGGAGGGTTGAAGGGAGTGCGTTCTAGCCGGAGTGTTGCGTTTTTGTCAAGTAATAGACTATAACTAGATGGGTACTGATGGACATGACATTTACACAAGCTGATCCAAGCAAAGTTCAGCCAGGATAGCACAAGGAAGTAAAAAAAAGATAAATAGGAGAATATGAGAGAGAATTTCTTACTCTAGTATGCTGAATCCATTAGCGCCTGATCCAATCAGGGTTCAGTCATGTGTTTGTTGTCTATTCTGAACCAATAGAAATAGTATGGCGGTAACATCTATCTTTCTATCTAGCTCATTATCCAATCAGAGATAAATCCTTCAATCGGCGCTATAACANTAATGTGTTTGTATTACAATACAATTTTAACAAAATTTATCGGTTTTTTATTCATTTTCTGCACTGCAGGCCCTGCATATATTGTGCATATCTGCACAGTTATAAAACAACTTAACTGTTTAATTTGCTTTCTCTGAACTATAAAGTACGTTTCTTGAATCAGTGATTATTCGTAAAACTTCTACAGAAAGTGTTTTTTTTACATAAAATGTGGACTTTTTGTAACATTGGACGTTTTTTAACATTGGGCGTTTTGTTGCTTTGGGCGTTTTGTAACATTGGGCGTTTTGTTGCATTGGGCGTTTTGTAATTGGGCGTTTTGTAACATTGGGCGTTTTGTAATTGGACGTTTTTTAACTTGGGCGTTTTGTAACATTGGGCGTTTTATAATTGAGCGTTTTGTAACATTGGGCGTTTTGTTATTGGGCGTTTTTTAATATTGGGCGTTTTGTTATTGGGTGTTTTGTACCCACTCCATGTTTAAAACATTGAAGTGTATAAAACATTAGACAATTGTATTCAATGAAATAGAGTAAGGTAGACTTCTCCGTCCCATCTTCTATACTAGAAGTAGCATCTTACCATGAAAACAGTAGAATTCTAAATATGGAAAATAAGATTGCAGAGGTTCAGAATCTGTTTAGATATCAGGGTTATTCACAAAGGATGACGACCGAAGAAACCTTTAAAAGTGACGATCTGAAGAATGAATTTGATTTTTCCTCAAAATGTTGACGGGAACCATGAATGTAAGAAAAAGGACTGAACTATTTTCGCACAGTCGTTATTGGTCTCATTTTTTGTGGGTAGCCCTGTATCTGAAGACATACGGAAAAATGTTTCGCAATAAGGAATTGAGTCTTTGCCTTAAACTCTGATTTACTAATCCTTATATTTTTACAACCCGATGTTGTACACCTTATATATTTCAAACTATGAATTATGTTATACCAAATAAGTTATAAATATCTAAGGTCTACGACATTGGGTTGCAAAGATATAAGGATTAGAAATTCAGAGTTTGAGGCAAAGACTAAATTCCTTTTAGATTTCAATGTAAATTTTTTTAAGAAGAAGACCCATTACAGAATCCTCGCCCTCCAGAACCCTTGGAATACAGAGGAAATTGCAGGGTTCGTATTTTAATATTTTTTTTCTTTAATAAATCTGTTAATAAATCGCTAATTGTCATTTATAATGAGTTACCTGCACAATGAATATTTTTATTTTTCCTTAGTCGAAATAAGTAAAGTTTTGAAAAACTGTTCACTAAAATTATTTTATTACCATGTATAGCTTGACCAAAATCTTGTTTTACCACCAAATACGATTGTTAGACTATAAAAAAGCTTACAACATTTTTAAAAAGATTACAAAATTTCAAAGTTGGTAAATATTTGATAAAAAATGTACTTATGTATACATATTATAAACTTTGTCTAAAGTCCGACCCCGACGGCAATGTATGATAGTTGAACTAAGATTGCAGTTTTATAGAGAAATTTTTCAGGATTCATTTGAGACCTATTGGACGTTTTTACGGTGCATATTTGATCAGCAAGAGCGCAAATGCAATCTTTAAAATCCTCATAGATTGTCCATTTTAGAGGGATGATTTTGAGAATTTAGATTATTCAATGACGACCACGAAAAATGTAACAATAAATTCTACAGTAAACTAAATTAGTTGTTAAGGAACAGGTTGAGAAAAAATTAATTCTTATCATAGAAAATAGGTAATAGTATTCAGATATTGGTTTCTGTAATGTCTCAATGTTGAAACCCATTTACTTTAGATTTCATGGAATTTATAATTAAAAGACGACATTTGAAGAATTTGAAGAAATCTCTGAACAAATTGGTAAAGAATAAAAAAATCAATTTAATGAAAAAAAGAAACAATTGATTCTAACATTGATTTATTGAAAAAAATCTTCTGAATATTATGTTCCTAAACATCTCATTAGTTTATGTAGAAATTTTGTTACATTTTTCCTTGTCGATTTTGAATCATTCTTACTAAACCGATTCTCAAAATCTTCCCTCCAAAATGGACAATCAGATCGAGGAAATTAAAGATTGAATTTGCGCTCTTGCTGAACAAACATGCACCGTAAAAACGTCTGATAGGTCTCCTAAAAAATTTCTTAAAAATACTGCAATCTCAGTTCAATTACCATTACCCGTCACTCCATTTAATCCAAAGTAGACTTTTTGCATACATTTTAATTTTAAATACATTTTATTAACATTGAAAAAAATACTAATACTTGGGGGGAATGGTCACCATAATCTTCTGATCTATCTGATTAATGTTTGTTTAAGCAAAATGTTCACTATGATCCTATGCTCTCCATGATTAATGTTTGTTTAAGCAAAATGTTCACTATGATCCTATGATCTCCATGATTAATGTTTGTTTAAGCAAAATGTTCACTATGATCCTATGATCTCCATGATTAATGTTTACTGTTTATGGAAACTTAATTATGATCCATGATTATTAGTTAATGTTCAAAAATAATGTTCATAATTATCATACGATCTTAAAGGGAGTGTTCGCGAAAAATTAAAAGGGGTATAGGCTTAATGCGATAAAAAAGCGCTTTTGATCGCTACTAATCTTACTTCTATCTGTTGAGAAAATTGTTAAAAACGACTAATACCGAAGAACGTAGTATCCATACAAATTCAGAAAGATGCAACATACGACTTAGACCGCAAAGAAATCTATTTAATTTCAAACAAATCATTCAGATACTACACCCAATGGTCATCGATTATCTTTCGCCACATTTGTATATAGTTGATTTTGATTCAAAACATATTATGATCTTTATGATCAATGTTGAGGAAGAATGTTCACCATAATACTATGATCTATATGATCAATGTTTAGGCAATATGTTCCCCATAATCTTAAGATCTACATGATTAATGTGAAATGTTTAGGGAAGCTGTTAACCTTCAAATTATTATTCATATAGGTTAATGTTCAAAAAGAATGCTCATTCAAGATCTTAATGATCAATGTTTATGAAGAATGTTCATCATAATCTGTTATTCCATATGATCAATGTTCAGATGATTGTTACTGTTCAGGGAAACTGTTCACCAATATCCCACGAACTTAAAGATCAAAATTTTGTGTATCGGGCCAAGCGGTGGTCTGCACGGATCTCTAGTAAGTTCCTAATTTAAATTCTGTAAAAAATTTAGTCTTGAAAAAAGTTTCCACTTAGTGTCTCAACTCCTGAATTTTAGTTGCACATGAAAGCAAAAATATAGTTTTCTTTTCATCCTGGCCAATCTTCAAACTAGAATTCAAACGAATTGAGTTTTTGTCACAAAATCTAATTTTCTAATCCCTATATCTTTGCAGCCTGATGGTGTAAACCTTTAATATTTCAAACTTAGATTATTTGATTAAATTAGGAAATCAGAGTTTGTGACAAAGGCTTGTTTCAGGGAAAAACAACATGGGAAAAATTCATCTATTTTCTTATCTTTTAACGTAATTTTTTTTAGGTCGAGCCAGTGTTTTCTGGGGAGGGGGGGACATACCCCCGCCTGTCCCACGTCATAGGGACACAAGTAAATACAACCAGAACCACAGTGATACAAACCATATTAGGAACATAGCAATCATTTATATTGATGTATAGCTAGTTAAGGTATATAAATCCTCCCCTTCCTAACCTACAATTGTCTTGAATTGATTGAATGAGATTCACTAATTCTCTCTTTGCTGGAAGAGTCCACAGTGTCCCGTCGCATAATATTGGATTCTAAATCCGGACAAAACATAAAATATTAGAGGACTAAATCACTATTATCAAAATTAGAAGAGAAAGTTCAGATTTTTATTCATGAAAAATACATAAAATGGTCGAAATATCCAATATTTTTGTTGTTTTTAAAGATATTAGAAAATTACAAGTTGAATAGCGTATTAAACAAAACAAAATCTATAGACTGTCTAAAATCAAACACTTTATTCATAATTTAAATGTTTGTTAATTTGTGTTTTTTGAAGGGGAAACACTGATTGAAAGCTAGGGTATGAAATGGCATTCAGAATTCGGAGAAATTAGATTTGCGAACAAATCAAAGAAAAGTTTTCAGAAAAAGCATTTACACATTCAGAAAGTCAAGAATTTTTTCTTAATTTCACGTTTATCTTGTAAAAAGCCTGCTGTTAGGGGCGGGGGGGGGGGGAATATATAAACATTACTTCCCGATTACATATTTCTGGAGACAGCTCTAGGGACATGTTTGAACTTCTGATTTTACAAAATTATGTTTTCATTTCAAAGTCCATTCATGATATTTACAAATGAATGCCCGCCCATGTTTAAATAGATTCCTTTTGAAACTTACTAGTGGAGATAAGTTTTTTGAGAAAGTAGTCTTTTTAAAGCGACGTTGATGGCGTTGCGTTTTTACCAGTTTTAAAATATTCTTGGTTCAGGATATTCGCCAAAAAATCTTTCACTAACAAACGATTTTAAAATTTCATTAGTCTGAAATCTTTTGTCAGAGTTAACATTTTGTACAGCTTTTCGAAGATTTGTAAGGTGCCTTTTAAACCTTAAAAGTTAGATCTTTATCGAAAACAATTTAAAAAAGACATCCCTTTGCTATATTTAAAACAGTAGATAGATGGAAAATAGCTTTTTTTATTTTATAAAATGTTAATATTGTGTTAATAAATGTAAATATTGATTATTAGTCGTTATATGATTGTTATGCCGCGTAGGTTATTTGAGCGCAAAACACGTGCGTACACTTGCCGCGAGTTGTTATGTATCGTCTTCCTTCCTTGTCTTCTCATCTGTTTATTAGGTATAAAAGCATAAAAGCATAAAATCATAAATACATTATGTAAAAACCCTGCTTTTTTATCCCCAACCCCGATATTTTGGTTAGCAACAAAGAAATTGAGTCTTTGCCACAAACCAAACTTTTCAAATTTCTATATCTTAGGAAACTGCAATGGTGTAACGAAGGGGGGAATGCACACCACACTTTTTGTTCGTCCGCACCACAATTGACGTCACTATTCATTATTATTTCTTACGACCACACCTTTTTTCGTCCGGGCCTGGCTTCTGTGTTTTTAAATGTATAAAATAATGTTCTACAACACTTTTTTCAAATTAAGGCAACATAATGTTATGCAATATCAATTGATTTTGTTTAAATGCATTTTCTTTAAAAAATGAAACAATATTTAAGCCCTATTTAGCACAAAACGGAAAATACCTATTTTTCGTTTGGACCACACACTTTTCTGTTATTTTCTTATTTTACTCCTAAACTACAGCTTTTAGGTGATAGTCGTTGGGATTTTTAGAATCTAAAGCTAAAAATTAACATATTTTTGGTAAGGAGCATAACAAGTGGTTTAGATTTGCTCAATATAGCATGAAAGAAAAATGTCCGTGAATTGTTTTATGGGCCTATTGTACCTTCATAAGATGTTCTTGTTTAAAAAAAATCAGGATAAAATAATTTAATCCATTATATACATTATACAAGATGGTGTGGCTCCAAATTCGAATATAAAATAATGTGAAGTACTTTAAGAAAAAATGTAAACAATGCCGAACGAAAAAAAGGTGTGGTCGGAAGAAAAAAAGGTGAAGTGTACCTTCCCTCCCTCGTGTAACTTTGATATTTTAAATTTGATCTATTTGATCCAGCAGAATTCATAGTTTGAAATATCTAAGGTTCACGACATTGGGCTTTAAAGATACAGTGATTAGAAAATTAAATTTTGAGACAAAGACTCAATTTCTTAAAAGTTACAAAAATGTATGAAATTTTTCTCCGGTTTTTAATCTGTACAGTGCAGTTTCAAAAAGCTTCGATAATCATAAATAAAGGCAATGGTTTTCGGATGCCTTTTTTTAAGCGGCTTCTTGGAGACCCTTACACATAAAATCGGAATGTTTTTAATGTTTTTAAATCAGGAATAGCATTAAGCAGTCTCGTTATCTACTATCAAATCGGGAAGGTATGTATAATTTTTATTAATTTTCTTTTCAATAAATGATCAATTTACATAATATTTATTGAGAGACTCTGGCTCTCAGCTTACTTTAATTCGACAAGCAACATACACGAAAAGGAATGAAAAAAAACTATTATTATTATCAAATTAAAATATCAATTTTTTAGTTTATTAGACACATAAATATTAGTTTATAATAAACAATATCTTGATCTAGGAATATGAGAATGAGATTGAGCTATTAGAAACTGAGCTATCGTTAGCTAGAGAAAAAGATGGAGTTTATCTTACTAGTCAAAAGGAACAATTTGAAAAAAATTGGTAGACATCTTAAAAATATCCAAATACCTAAAAAACACTCCACATCCTCCCATCCATGAACAGACGAGGGGGGGGGCCTGATTTTTTTACATTTCTACCCAAATAGAGCAAATATATTTCTCTTAATTACATTTTAATTATTTTCTCACCATAAAAGGAACTCGGCAATAATTTACACATTTTTCTAAAGCTTATATTTGCATTGACCTACCCCAACCCTCCCCTTTTCCAATTTTAAGGTAGAGAGTTACTTCTCTCTGACAAATTAATGTGTCAACTAAAAAGGGAAGATGGATAAAAGCCTGAAATGGTTAACACGTTAATATCTCCAGATTTTTTGCGGGACCTATTTAATCATGTCAGACTCCATGAAAATACGGAGCATAGATTAAAATAAAAAAGTAGATGGATTAGATAGGAAACTAGGTAGGTTACTCCGGTAACATATTACTGTACCAAAGGTTTCGGTTTTTCAAATATGAGAAACCGAACGCATCTCGCCCTGGTTGAGGGTACAATCTCAATATCCAATATTCATGGCCGCTGCAGAGGCGTATTAAGGATGGGGCTATGGGGTCTAAGCCTCCCCCCCTGGACCAATGAAATCTATGTCAGGGGGTTTTCAGGTCCCAACGGGTGCTGAGCCCCCCCCTGGAAAGAAAAAAAATTTAAACCCCTCCCCCCCTGGAAAAATTCCTGAATACGCGCCTGAATTTGCCGGTTTTAACATAACACAACATATTTATATTTTGAATTGTACTAGTATGAGGAGTTGATGAATAAAGCAAACAGGAAAACTTTAACCGAACAGCAACATCAGGTTAGTTTTTGTTAGCTGTTTCTACATTCTTTTTAAGCGAAAAGGAAAACTTTAACCGAACAGCAACATCAGGTTAGTTTTTGGTTGCTGTTTCTTCAGCAACATCAGATTTTCAGTCGAATATGCGAAAATCTAAATTCTTAAACCGTCTGGTCTGTCCAGCTTTTTAAAATCTATATAATAAATTTCAATTTAGTCTTGTTCCTAGTGACGAAGCCGTTTTGTTTTTTAGGTATTATCAAATATCTGATTTGTAATTTTTATCTTCCTGATAAGATCTCTAGTGGTGTAAATGAAACAAGATTAAATCCACTGATAAAACCTGTAAAAAGTGTAATATGAACACGATTAATTATCAATAAAAAAACCTCGCCCGGAAATAGAAACTTGATATGCTTTCTTCATGGAGAAAAAATATACAAGAGCCTGCGTCCCACTGCAGACTGAAGGATCGATTCGAAGGTCAAATTTGTGCGACATTACCAGGACGACTTTGTAACCTCTAGCTTTGATTTTACGCACAAGAATGATAAGCAAATTAATTTGGTTACACTCTTCACAAAAGCTCTTCAAAAAGAGAAGTTATTATTGAAAAGAAATAAGATTTTGATATAACGTGAAATTTACTTTGGGATAGGAATGCAGGTTGGAGCTTTAAAAAATCAATTCAACGATAAAATGTGTGCAAAAACAAAAAGGGAGACGAGATACACGTTGATCATGGAAGTTTAGAGAGGGGAGAAAGGCAAACCACAATAATGTCTAGTCCGAGCCACAATCTCTTTATTTTTTCGTCAGAGCCACCTCAAAATCCTCGTCCTTCCAATATTATTTTCTTTTAAGTGTCTAATAGCCTCCAAGATAAAACTATTGTTTAAGAATCGGGCCACGTTAGGGCATAAATGAAACATTGAATTTTTGTATATCGAAAAAAATAGTTTCAATTGCATTAAAGTTTTCGAGTTTAATGTCTTTGAAAATGTTCAAATTCTTTACGCGCATTTTCAGATATTCCTGGTGTAGAATGCCGCAAATAATTCCGAGTTTATAGAACTTTATTCAGGGTGGCCAAAACTTTTTTGAACCCATCCGTACAAAAATCCGTACATTTTCAGAATAAATCCGTACAATCCGTACAATTTTCGAAAAACAATCCGTACAATCCGTACAATTTTTTTTAAAAAAAATCCGTACAATCCGTACATTTTTTTAAACCAATCCGTACATTTTTTTAAAGATCCGTACATTTTTTTAAAAAATCTGTACAATCAGCACAATTTTCGAAAAAAATCCCATTTTTGAAAAAAAAACATTAAAATTCAATTTTTCATTCATTGTCTTTTGTGTTCAGTTCATGTAAGAGGGTTTAAACTTCTTCAGCAAGAATCAATCTGTAAAAAATTGGCTTCATACATATATACAAACTAAATACTGGGTACATGATACTAGGTGCATGATACTGGATACTGGATACATGATACAGGGTACATGATACAGGATACAGGATACAGGATACT